GAGTTACTGTCCGCCTCTGGTAAGAAGTGTGTGGTTTTGAGTCCCAGTGTCTGGGATCCACTCGGGCTGTGTACACGACTCCAGACCGGGGTTCAGTCGTCGCGTTGATTGGTAACGGGCAAAGTTTGGTATCCCTTGGGGGTTAACAAGTTTACGAATTAATGGACCGTTTTATCTGAAGGTTAGTTACATGATATTATTTAATAAATGTTTATAGAACTGTTACCAATTAAGAGTGCTATGTGAAATACTAGACAGTCCTGCTAATAATATTCATTACAACAGATTAGAATGTTGCTTATATATATTAAATCCATTTTATTGTTTTTTTTTTGTAAGCTCATCTCTTTAATAGTCTCTTAAATCAAGAATGGGAAAGGTATGTCTATGGTGAAAGATTATATATTGTAAATATTATTAATCTGTGTGATTGTTTATATATATGAAGATGTTCACTGTTGATGCGTTTAATACAACAGTATTCCGTATGCTCATCGACCGTCTTTATTATAAGGGTTAGGCTCCGCCCTCGCACCTGTAAATCTCCCCAGCAGTCTGTGGAGCAGGTCCGCCGGAGTCCGCCTGATCGGCTGAGGAACTGGGGACAGCGGCTTGTCATTGAGAGCGGCTTAATCGCCGGAACGCCGATATTTGAACGGGTTCTTCCACCGAGCCTCGCAAGACTACAAAGAGCGGCTTGGTTCCCAACTGAATAGCTTTGGAGACATTGATTAAGTTGGCGTTTATGAGAGAAATATCGATTAGACGCCGCTGAGGCGACTCTGTCACTGCATGTGTGGACGACAGAGAGCTTGGTCGGACACAAGCCGCCTGAAGAGACAGCCGTTTCTCTCACGAATCCCCCTGCGTTCTGACTGATAACAACATAGACCACACGAATATTGGTTTTAGACTCCATTTTATTTTGAAGATATGGAAAAAGACGAGGAAAACCCTTCAAAATGAGAACACGAAGTCGTCGTTAATGCGGATTTAAATGAGGGTAACGGACGCGCGGTTTCTCCTCACGCCCTCCAAGCTGCTGCATTTCTCGCTCAAACATATTATTCACACTGAGCAGACGTGGATAGAAAAATAGATAAGAAAGGAGAGGGATATTTGAAGCAATATGGCTGATGGCTGGGGTTGGGGGCGCAGGCAGGAGCTCTCCAAAGCCTCATCTCAATGCTAGCTGTGGCAGATGGCAACGGAGCCTATGGCAGCAGCTGTAGAATGAGTAATAATATCAATTTTAATAAAAACCCCGACTCTTCTGTCTCTATATCGAAGATGGACATGATCATCCCGTTCTCACCAGACGTACCCTGTGACAACAATGGTCAGCGCATGTGGTGGGCTTTCCTCGCCTCGTCCATGGTGACGTTCTTCGGGGGTCTCTTCATCATCCTCCTGTGGAGGACCCTTAAGTACCTGTGGACGGTCTGCTGCCAATGCAACACCAAAAACAAGGTAATGCAAGCCCTTTCCCCTCTCCACGAAAAGCCCCACTAGCTGGAATTAAATGGTCATGTTATCTTTGTGCATTGGTGGTATTTTAATAACTAAATGGCATTTGGATGGCAGTGAATTGGCATTGATAGAAGTAATTCATTGTGAGTAGTACACTGGATCTGCATGACAATATTGCAGCATGCACTCAGTCTGAATAAACCACTCACAATGACGCACACAGCCCAAACATGTCAGTATTTGCACATTTAAAGAAAATGGAATTAAGAGATTCATGTGTGTCAACAAATGAAACAAAGCCTTGCATACAGGCCTCATATTTGAATGAACAAATAACAGTATTTAGATCTTTTATTTAGTTTGATCCTTTTTATTTTTTCCTTGTTAGTGGTTTGTTGATGGATGAAAATGGTTGATAAGTGCCAGTTGAAAAAAAAGAGAGAAAAGAATACACTGCAGGAATTAGAGATATATGTGTACGCAATCAGTAACCCCGTAATCCATTTAAACTGTTACTAGATTTTGTATGTAACCTTGTAAACAAGGCATTGAGACACAAGGTGACTGCAAAATGAAGTTATGTTAGACGGCTTTTATTCATACACTAACTTGTCTGGAAAGTCATTTAGGAACTTGTATGCATTGAACATGGTATTTGTTACTTTGGCTAGTGGTTTGTTGGTGGGTTAAGTTGTTTATCTAAAGTCAGCCTTTTAAAAACATACCATATATGATTCATTAAGCGCAATAAAATTAAAAGCAAGCCAGCACATTAATATAGAGAACGGTCATGTAGAGATGCAGATTATCTTTAACTAACAACCATCATCAGCTACAGACACGTTTTTAGTGTGTGATTTTTACTAGGGTTGGGCCGATGGCTGACAGACATCCATCTTAGAGTTTTTCATCTGCGCATCCTGATTCTGTATTAGACTTTGTGGATTAGTTATTTGATGAGTCTTTCCATTGTTCGCTAGGTGATAAGTGCCCCTTAGGTGCGGTTGCGACATGGAAGGAATGATGACTTAATGTGAACTCTCTCTCTCTGTCCTCTGTGGCACACATGTGCTTTAGCGTACAACACCTGTTGACTCTTATAGGGAACCATTTCTGTCCTTTTTAAGGGGGCAAACAGAATAAAGTTTTATTATTATTTTTTTTTTACTGGTAGCAGTAGCAACACCACTGTCAGAAACAAACACTCTTGTCGTCTGTTTAGTTGGGTCAAGTAGGTTTGTTTGTGCTTTGAAGTCAAGTTGGAATGATCATATTCACAAGTGCATATGAACGCCACCATCACGTTGTATTTATAAGTGGAAGAAGTGTGCTTTCTTTAAGCTGACACTCTGAAGGCCGGGACACACCAAGCTGACTTCAAAGAACTAGTTGTGACCAAAGCCGACGGTGTTGTTTGGAAGGAATGATGACTTAATGTGAACTCTCTCTCTCTGTCCTCTGTGGCACACATGTGCTTTAGCGTACAACACCTGTTGACTCTTATAGGGAACCATTTCTGTCCTTTTTAAGGGGGCAAACAGAATAAAGAGTTTTATTTATTTATTTATTTTTTACTGGTAGCAGTAGCAACACCACTGGCAGAAATAAACACTCTTGTCGTCTGTTTAGTTGGGTCAAGTAGGTTTGTTGGTGCTTTGAAGTCAAGTTGGAATGATCATATTCACAAGTGCATATGAACACCACCATCACGTTGTATTTATAAGTGGAAGAAGTGTGCTTTCTTTAAGCTGACACTCTGAAGGCCGGGACACACCAAGCTGACTTCAAAGAACTAGCTGTGACCAAAGCCGACGGTGTTGTCGCCTTGCGTCGACAGCATCTGGACCAAAAAGCTGCACTTTTTGCACACCGCTCAGACTACAGCTGACCGCAAAACTAACACATGCATTCTGCACCTGCATGAGAGGAATTAGCGGTCTATATCAGCAGCTAACAATAGTATATATTCATCATTCAAAAGAAGAAACCGAAACAAGGATATACCAAATGTGAACAAAGCAGCACTTGCTTACCATTTTGAATATCAGATATGTTAATAACTTTCTTCATTTTAAGCGGCTCATTTTCTTTTGAAAATATTTGCATATTGGAATGCTTGGGTAAGATCATGTAATATTAGAACAGACTTCTGTCTGTGCCGCCTTCATTTACGTGCTCCTTTTCCTCCCTTTCATTTTAATTCTCGGGCACTGACTTATTCGCTAAACCGAACAACCAATCAGAGTTCTCACTCTCGCCGACGGCCCTGACACTATTCAACATGTTGAATCGGGCAAACTGCTGCCAACGTGAGCCCGACGAGAGCAGACGTGTGGAACACACCAAACAAACTAGCCCGACAGACGCTTAATTTTCCATTTATTCTCAAACTATTAGTTTGAAGCAGATCAAAGATTTAGTCTCTCTAAAACCCTCCTTTCCGTGAGCCTACTCTGCTCTGATTGGTCAGATGGCTCAGTCTGTTGTGATCGGTCTACCGCGTACAGCGCGCGTCAGAAACAATACGCCCATTGACACAGTTCTGTATTTTGAATGCTCGATAGAAAATATAAACCTAAATAAAAATCTGTTATTTTTCATACTTACAGGTTGTGATTCAGTGGAGCCATCTTTCAAGAGTAAGTTTTTTTTGTGTGAATCCCGTGTTGAACTCCCACTGATTAGAGAAGCAGTCGTCAGTAATTTCGACGTGTTTGAGGGCGGGTCAATTTGTTCACGGCCGGCCAACATAGAACATAGGTGGGCATTATGCAGATGTGTTACCCCGTGACGTGTAGCCGTCATGGAAGTGGGATTTGAATTATTGACAACTCATTTAGGCTGTTCAGAATCGATTGTTTCTTTTGGGAGACAATTACTTTATTTATGGTGCACTTTCGGCTTTACAACTTTGCAGATCGTTTGCATTCACATAAAGCTACATTACACACTGCATGAAAGGCAATATTTGAAATGGCATAATAGGGGCACTTTAATGTTTTCTTATATTAGTGTTGTGTGTTACCATGATGGTGTTTTGAGGTTATGACAAATATATTAGTATTTACCTTGAGGAAAAACTGCTTCTGATGATCTTTTATTCCTCATGTGCCTTTTTATTATTTGTGTATTGATGGTGGTTTTCAGTAATATTATAGCTAAAAGTACAAAATATATTTTAGTACTTTGATATAAACATTGTATATATGATTTTTTACTGTAAATTTAGGTTCAATCTAAAATGTTGCTACTGTATTTGGTATTGTAAAGTTCTCGCAACCACAGCTGCTGTTTTTTTCTTTTTGCAGTGTACAATTCAGTTAGTACACATTTTTTTGTACATAAGCCGAGCGGTTGCATGTTACCATCTTTGCCTAAGGGCACTCAGTTTGGTGCACCCTTTTTTTTTTGAGCCAATCATTTGAGCTGTGAATAATCACTTTGGAGCCACGGGAAAAAATTTAAAACTGATTGGCTGATCACACGAACATGCACAGTCCCACAGCCTTTCACTGGCAACTGTCCTGCCAGTGCATGAGCTGTGACTTCAAAGGGAGGAAGCAGGGAAATTTGAGGTTATAGGCCTATATGAGGTTTCCAGAACACTTCAGAATACAAGGCTATTTTACATTGAATTCTCTTTGTTCACATAATGCCATAACTATGACATCTGTCAGCAGAGGCTAACTGCCACTAGAAACACATAAATGCTTACATACATACTTACCTTTAAAGAGTTTGCTCATTTTAAATAAGGCAGACACCTAGCCACATTAAATGCATGTTTTTTTTGTGACTCAAATTTCTATTTACATTTTGCCCGAGGTTGCAAATACACTATTAAAGCAGAGTTTGATATTGATTTATAGCCTATTCCATGTTTATTTAATATAGTTTTGTATTTCTGCTCTAAAATGCTTTATTTATTTCCCTGTCTTGTTTTACTGGCAAATAACGTGATGGTGTTTACCAAAAGCTATTGCTCCTTGAAATGAGCCTTTGCTTTTCGATCCAGTGATTTAGTCCAATTGCTGCATGACTACCATTTTCCATTTAAAGCTCAAGATGCTCTCTGACCCACTGGAGGGTTACGTTTCAAATGAGGCGTGTGTTTTGTATGCATGTGTTATGAGACTACAATACAAAGATATTTTATAGACCTAGGGCTGAACTTTGTATTTTCATTAAAGCACTCAGAATTACTGAGATGCCTAGTAAGTGGGCTTGTTGTGTGCCTGTGTATCCCCTTGGCAACGTGCCGCCTGCCTTTAAGCTAAAAGGCGAACAGCACACACCCAAAGATCAGCTGTCCCTCTCACTAACACCCTTACACAAAGTACCCTGTGAGTCTGTGCTCCGTCTATAGCTCCATTGTGAGATAAACATCAAATTATTTTCATTGTAACTACATAGTTTGTGTGTTGAATATGCAAATGAGTGCAGTGGAAGAGCATGTGGTGGAAGTCGAAGGACACTTGGGTGTTACACTTCAGGAGTAATTCTGCTTTTAATGAAGCTGCTTTCGAGTATAATTATTTTCCCCTCTGGCTTATTTTTTTAAAGCCTTGCAACAAAGTTCATCTTGTGACAGCTCATTAAGAAGGATGTGAAATTGATTTGCTATTGATCACAACATTACGAAGTTGAAAACAACTTTGTACACCTCTTGAATTGATATTTGCAAATGTCTTTAAATCATGTATCTCCTTGGCATGTTACATTGTCAGTTATTGTCAATATGAAAAATGAGTATGCATATTAAAACTGGGGAAGAAGCTTCTCATATCATCATGGTGAGGTATAAAAATATAAAAACATGTCAGTTTTGTTGCTGCAGCCACTAGGATGGGTCATGGATGAATTGAGTGATGATGTATGAAGAAATTGATAATGACAGTTGTACATGGCAGTCTGGCCTCGGGGAGTTGTTTTAGTATACAATTAAATACTTTTTCTGAGAGTGATTTATTTTCTGCCAAACATGTCCACTTATTAAAGGA